TTTTCCTCTGCATATAAGGCACAAATGCCACTCTTCTTAATCAGACATGATAAGGGCGTGTCCAGCACGCACGCTTGATTGGTTGGGTGAGGTGCCTCACGGATCAGAAGGATCGATTACAAATCTAAAATGGTTGGGTAAGGTTTTGACAAAAACGGTATGCGTTGGATACGCCCTTAGAAATCAGTGTCTTTTATCTGGGCGTATACGGTATTTGGGGTTTAAGTTTGCCACACAAACTTCATCAGAGATTTGTGGACCCTTCCGAATTGTTTGGATGGTGATGTTAGAGTTCTTAGATATATATTAGGACTATATTTACAACAATAACCTAGCTAGGTGCAGTTTATACAGGGTACACACTTGGACAAAATTCTGTTCCTGCCCTTGCACTAGTCAACTTTTCTCCTCGTGATATGGTACCATTCTAGGTAGCTCCTGCCGTCGCGCTTCCGCCCTTGGTACTCCCCACTCCTCTCCCACCCTAGCTTACCTCCTTAGACTAGGTTAGGACCTAGTCTTCCCTAGCTTGCACCCTAGCCCTAGGCTGTCGCCCTGCTTTCGCACTGCCCGCTGCTCACCGCCAGCTGAGCGCTGCCCGCCATTTGGGCTGCTTGTTGCAGCCGCTGCCTGCCGCCAACTGCGTGCCCCTGCCAACTCGCGCTGCTGCCATGCAGCTGCCCGCTACTCGCCACCATGTAAGCTCGCTGCCAAACAGCTCGCCGGCCGCTGCCAGCCCGCCGCCAGCTCACCGCCAGCAGCTCGCTGGCAAATCGCCGCTCGCAGCTCACCGTCGGCACTTGCCGCCAGCCACTTGCCGCTGCCAGCCTGCTGCCTGGTTGCTGCTCACTGTGCTGGCGCTGGCTGCCTGCTGCTCACTGATGCTGCCACTGGCCTGCGGCTGCCGCAAGCCTGCCACTGTATCTGCCAGCCTGCCACTGCCTCCAGCCTGCCGCCTGCCGCCAGGTCTACCACTGCCAGCCTGCTGCCTGCCGCCAGCCTGCCAGCTTGCCGCCTGCCGCCAGCTTGTCGCTGCCGCCTGCCTGCCGATGTCGCAGGCCTGCCGCTTGCTGTTGCCACCAGTTCTTGCTGCCTGCCTGCCGCTGGCCGCTTGCTTCCTTGTGCCTTCCAGCCGCCAGCTGCCAGCCAGCTACCTGCCTGCCGCCTACCAGCTGCCCACCAGCTGCCAGCCCACCGCTGGCCAGCCGCCCGCCAGCTGCCAGCCAGCTGCTCACCAGCGGCCCACCCGTAGTCAGCCAACCGCCAGCTCCTAACCAGCTGTCGGACCGCTGCTACAGCCACAACCACCACTTCCGCTGCCGCCGTTTGTGCTCTTGCACCCACTAGCGCCTCCCACTAGTCTCCTCCTCATTTTTGGAGTTCCTCACCGCCTCCCCTGCTGGCATGACGACCTCGTCAGGGTCTGTTCTTTGGCTGGATGTCGAAGGCCGGGCAGTCGGTTTCGCTCCCTGGCTTCTCGCTCTCCGCCGGCAGCTGGTAAGCCAATGCGTGAACTGTGGGCTACTAGAGGCCCACATCACTTGTAAGCTGTTGTCCCCTCCCCCGTCCTGAGTCTCTTGCCGCCGACACGACGTTGGTGCAGCATGAGGCATACGCAGCTGCCTGGACTTCCCACGCCATCTGGCGGGCTCGCGACGCTGGTGCTGCTGGCCATCACCCGCTGCCTGCCGGTTGACGAGCAGGCACACTTCGAGTCGTAGGAGATGGCGAAGGACCTCTGGGATGCTGTCATTGCCCGCTACTCGTCCTCGTCCTCCGCCGCCCTCGGCCACCTCCTCCTTCCGTTCCTCTTCCCCAGCCTGGCCGCCTTTTCCACGATCGCTGACCTCGTCGCACACCTCCGCGACCTCGAGGTACGCTACCGTGCTGCCTGTTCCGAGGACCACCTCACTGCTCAAACCCCGCCCACCTTCGTCACCCTTTACTTTCTCACTGCCCGCCTCCCTGGCCGTCTCGCTCCTGCACGTGACGCTCTCCTTGCACTGCCCCCCACAGCCCTCACCATCGACCACTTCTTCACCTCCTTCACGGAGGTCGAGAACCGCCTCCGCGCCATCACCGAGTCCTCTGGCGCGGTGGCAGCCCCTGCCTTCCAAGGCAGCTCTCCGTCCCAAGCCCTTGTCTCTGGTGCCTCTGCCTCTGTCGCTGAGATACACTGACGGAAAGAATTGTCCACATGTTTGGCAATTTTTTGAATTTCCACCGGTAAAGGGCATTTGAACATTAAGCCTTAATTGGAGGCATTACCCACTATATGCAGGCCAATCTAGGGAGACATTAAAATGCTACACATTTGATGAAAACTACTATCGTTAACAGTAAACAGCAAACATAACCAAACACGGTGCATGTGGACAATTATTTCCAGGCGAAGCAGCAACTTGAAAAACCCTAAAACTAGTACCTGGTCCACCGCCCTTTAGCCCTAATCACTGCTTTCACCCTCCTGGGCATGCTGTCGATCAAATTGGAGCACACCTCTGATGAGATCTTCTCCCACTCCTCTTGTACACGCTCCCACAGGTCCACCATACCAGTGGGAGGTGTCTCATGCTTTCCCAGCTCCCTTTTAAGATGAGCCCACAGATGCTCAATGGGGTTCAGATCAGGACTTCCTGCCGGCCACTCCAGGACCCCATACTCCTGCTCCTGAAGCCACTGCTGCACCACACGGGACTTATGCTTGGGGTCGTTATCATGCTGGAAGATCACAGCCGAGGGGGTTAGCTTGTAAAAGTCGATGGTTTTTTTCAGCTCGTCTTGCAAAATGCTCAGATACAGCGGCCCGTCCATCCGACCATCGATTTTGCACATGAAACCCGCCCCCTCAAACGTCATACATCCCCAGATCATCAAGCCGCCGCCCCCGTGTTTGACGGTTTGCTTGATATGGTGGTGTTGGAGAGTCGTACCTTCACGAACCCAGGCGTACGCGCGGCCGTCAGAGCCGAACCTACTAATCCTCGTCTCATCCGACCATATGACCCGTCGCCAATCATCTATGGTCCAATCCGCGTGGGCCCGTGCGAACGCCAGCCTATCGCGGATATTTTTCTTGGTGAGTCGCGGCTTCTTAGGCTGCTGAACTGCGATAAGGCCGCTGGATTTGAGCGCATTACGCACCGTCCTAGGATGCACCGTGATGCCGTGCTGGGATTCGACGATTTGGGCCGCATGCCTCGAGGTTTTCGCCTCGCCGCTAGTGATCGCCCTGACGATCCCACGACGAATTCTACTCGACAGTACGCGTGGACGACCAGCAGTGGGCATTGTAGGACGTACGTCCTCGGGACTAGTCTCTGAAATCGCCTTGAGCCCAACATCATGCACTGTACTTTTCCCAACGCCAACCTGTTTCGCGATTTGCCTCGTGCTGAACCCCCTACGCAACAGGGCCACGATCCGGGCGCGACGAGCCTCATCTATCGGTCTCATCTTGGCGTAGTCTACGCCTCGGGTATAACTTTATTCTGACTACTCGACGATTGCGTTAGGAACTATGGAGAGAATGCTCTAGTCGAAAACGGATCTAGTCCGCTGCTTGGCCAAAACTGTCCGGATGCACTCACGCGACTGAAATCTTGGCCACGCTATTAGTGCGACCCATTCAGGTTGCAAACGTGTTACCCTATTGTAACTGGCACGCGTAACTTATTAGTCAGCAATGAACATTCAACGATACATCGGGTGAAAGCATTCAAATCATGTGTTGAACCTAAAATTGGACTTTATCCGGGCAATACTTTCCGTCGCTGTATATAAGTCGCGCCATCAAAGTGAGTTGAGGTCTTCAGCTTGGAGATTGTTGGAAAACCCGCTTGATTTACAACAGCTTGTGCACCAGCAAACGGCCTGTCTTCTGCGGTATGATGTCGTTGCTGTTGCTGTGGTTGTTGTTGTTGTTGTTGTTGTTGTTGTGCAGGTCGCCCGTAGAAGGCAAAAGACCCTTCAGACTCTTCTCCAGGGCTGAAGGCTTAGCGACTACAGCAGCTCTTGCATAACTAGAGTTATCAAGGCTCATAGAGGCTGTAGGATGTACTGGAGCTTGTTGTTATTGCTGATTAGACTGATTAGTCATTACGGAAGCAATAATATATAACACAGGCATGTACCTATTCGGTATGTACCGGTTCGTAGTGTATCACGAATATTTGCTTGACATGATTAGTGACTGTTCGTGTGTTTGAGAGTGGCGTGACCCTTCGGGTGACTATACGCGCGAACCTATTATTCATGCGTTGACTCGCTACTGCTGACATCATTACGCGCGTCCCTCTATATGAAGTATCGCGCTGCACTAGTACAGTCTAAGTGTTATATCAGGAATGCATAAACGGTAACTCTGTCGAGTATACTTTTACCGGCGAAGGACCAGGTTCAGCTGCTGATGTGGATGGCTGCGGAACTGTAGAAGGTCCTGCTGCTGCGCTGTCGGGCGGATAATATTCTTCGCTTGCATCTGCTTCGTCTTGAGGGGTGGCGAAACTCCGTTCGGCATTGTAGCGATCATGATCTCACTGATGGCATTCCTTGTCGCGTTTGAAGTCATTGAGAAATAATTTCTCATAGAAGATGCAATCCATGGCATACAAAACTTTGTGAGTTTCGTAATGCATGATTATGCATGAGTGGGAATCTTTAGGTACACCGAGTTTTAAACCCCATCGGACACTTCCGAGTCCCAAGGCGCCCGAACCACTGAGCGAGGTTCCTCGCTAGGCTATCTGTGCATGTATTGGCCCTGTGTTTCGCTTGTATTCGACACACTTCAATCACGACATCTATTGCATTACTCTGACTCCCATCGGGAGATTATCATAACAGATTTCGTCTGACTTGGTTTTTATACACTACATCCCTTTCTCGATGTTGCCTCTGAAGAGGATTTCGTGGGTTGAAGGTCAGCTGCTCCCGTTCAACCTTCCACCGAAACTGTGCATGTTGTTCCGAACGGGGTGTTGCAGTCAGAATCCCCCTTGGTACATTCTGGTGGAAGTTCGGACAAGGCAAAGGCGGTTCAGGCGCTAGGCAGCGCGTGAAAGCACGGGAGTTTCTGATCGTGTGGTACCCTACTCAACTGTGGTCTACGAGCAGTGCAGTGGAACAACGATTTGTACACTGGTAGGATTCACAGCAACGGCAGCACTGCACACGTCTCGCTGGTCGGCAAACGGGTAGTTGTGCCACGCGTCGTCATGTTAACGTTAGGTTTTAGGATACTCGCGCATAGCGCGGGGGATAGTCGATTTGGGCTGAAAGTGGCACTGCGTAACGTGCGGTATACAGTCTTCTACTCAACGCTCCCCCATGTCCCGGTCGCCTCTCGCCCTCCTGCCCCTCTCCCCTCCCCGACTTCCCTTCTGCGCCCCTGGCGTCTCGCAGTCCCTCCCTCGCGCACCACTCGCCCGTCGCCCTGGTCCCCTCCGCCCTGCCCTGCCACCTCGTCGCCACCCACACCCGCCCCTTCCATCCTCACTCCGCCCGCCCTTCCACAAGCACTCGCCATCCATCATCCTTCCCCACGTCTCCTCTCCTCTTCCCGCACCCCTTTCCTCCGTTCCCTGTCCCCTCAATTCCACCCTCGTCGTTCCCTCCTAGGTTTGCTGCCTCGGTTCTCTGCCTTCTCTCGCTCGTTCCCGCTTCCACCTCTCCTCTCTTTTGCTAAAACTCTCTCCCGTTTCCCCTCGGTTTCTCCACTGCCCTCTTCTGCCCTCTTCTGCCCTCTTTTCCCTCTTTCCCTCTATTGCTCTCGTCTCTCTCTCTCTCTCTCTCTCTCTCTCTCTCTCTCTCTCTCTCTCTCTCTCTCTCTCTCTCTCTCTCTCTCTCACACACACACACACACACACACACACACACACACACATATCCACCCCCCCACCCACACACACACCCACCCACCCACACACCCACACGCCCACACACCCAACACCCACCCACACCCACCCGCCCGACCACCCGCCCCCGCTCAGCACTGCGAGCATCGCGGCTCATGAGCAATCGCGGAGGGGCAGCACTGTGCAGGGACTTCCAGAGGGGCAGGTACAGGGGCACACAGGGGCACGCAGGGGGGGGCAAGTTCAGGGGCAGTTGGATAATGGGGCGGGCAGCAACCAGCACAGGCTGGCAGACACGCCACTACTATCACGTGTTGCCTGGCGTGCTGCTCTTGTGTCTGCCTGTCATGCACCGCTTCCCCTAGCTCTTATTCGCCTCTGCTCTCTGCTGTGCCATGCACGCCTGTCTCCCTCCCCATCACCCGCAGCTGCCGCTGGGGAGCGCGCTGCAAGTTCGTGCACCAGGCGCCCGCACCCACCCAGCACGCACAGCGTGTACGGATGCCCGCATGGCATGGCGTGGGGTGGCGGGGCATGTTGGGGATGGGGTGATACGAATGCTGCTGACAGCATGGCACAGTGCACGCACATGACAGGGGCTGCAAAGAGTAGCAGGTGTATCGGAGCTTAGTCCGTACCCTGTGCATGTCGCCGCCAACATGTGCCTCCTCCGCATCCCCGCTCTCACCCTGCTGTCCTGCCTCTCACTCACCCCATCGTCTCCCTCCTGCGCCCTCATCCTCCCACCCACTCACCTGCTCCTCCCCGTCCACCTTCCCTCTCCCCCTCTCTCCGGTTCCTCCTTCCCCCTATCAGGGCAACCGCTACGCCGAGCTCAGTGGGAGTGGGGGGGGGGGAGGATGGGGAGGTGGTGGCAGGGGGCAGGGGGGAGGGGGGGTGGAGGGGGGCGAGGAGGGCGCGGAGGGGGGAGTGGTGCAGGGCAGGGAGGGGGTGGGGGCAGCAGATTGTGCAGCGAGAGCACAGGTGATAAGGGGGGAGAGGGGGGGGAGGGCTCGTGGTGAGGCAAGCACACGATTAGAGTGAGTGAGTGATGCGCTCCATGCCGTGACCGCCATGCCGCCATGATGTCCCTGTGTCCTTGTGTCCTCGTGGCAGGCCTTTCGATTCATTTTAGGGAACACTGAATCGTCAGCCCCTCCCCATCTTAGGCTGATGCTGCAGCCTCCCCCTGTGAAAAGGCTGGAAACTCAGAATTCACTGAAATTTCTTCCTGATCAGTCATCCTAACTTAGAAGAAGAACGCTGATGCACAATTTGAATGGTGCATCAATGTTCAGCTGTTGGCTTTCAGTAACGAGACTACCGCTTGGCTGGCGCACTTGACAATCCAATGATTGGCTGGCGCAATAACAATTTGGTCAAGTTCCAACCACCCTACGCAGATAAGGTGTTTGTGTGTCAGCGTGGTGCCAGGGTCTGGGTGGTGAGGACTTCGCCGAGTTACCTGGGTTGCGGAGGGGTGTGGAAGTACTGTTTCTGACTGTAGAGGACTTAGCTGAAGAATCTGGTTTGTGGGCACCCCCAATATTACGCTGAGGCATTAGCGCACACCCACAAAAATCGCTGAGATTTCAGCCAATACATGGAAGAGGAGTCTGATTTCAGCCTTCACTCTTAAAAAAGGCTGAAGAATCAGCTTTGGTACAAAAGGAAGCCTGAAAGAGGGCTGAATCGGCGTAAAAAGGCTGATATCTAGGGCCCTGCCCTCTGCTCCCGTGTCCCCGTGTCCTCCCCTCCCCCGCCCCCCTGGCAGCTGCGTGGACCGCTTGGACTGTGAGTCGATCATAGCAGAGGATGCGGAGAAGGAGCGCCCGCTGTGGAGGGCGTCCGTGTACGCGCACTGGAAGTAGTGAGTGCACTGGAAGTAGTGAGTGCACTGGAAGTAGTGAGCGCACTGGAAGTAGTGAGCGCACTGGAAGTAGTGAGCGCACTGGAAGTAGTGAGCGCACTGGAAGTAGTGAGCGCACTGGAAGTAGTGAGCGCACTGGAAGTAGTGAGCGCACTGGAAGTAGTGAGTGCACTGGAAGTAGTGAGCGCACTGGAAGTAGTGAGCACACTGGAAGTAGTGAGCGCACTGGAAGTAGTGAACGCACTGGAAATAGTGAGCGCACTGGAAGTAGTGAGTGCACTGGAAGTAGTGAGTGCACTGGAAGTAGTGAGTGCACTGGAAGTAGTGAGTGCACTGGAAGCAGGGAGGCTTGCGCCACCACAGCCACGCACATGCCAGTGTGCCCACGGGCCATGCGATGCCACGCCCATGGCTGCACTCGTGATGCCGCCCAGCTTTGCACCACAACCATGCCTGCCCCACTGCGTGCGCACGTTGCTGCATGCTCCCTTTCACTGCGCTCACCCCGCCCCTCACCCCCCCTCCCCCGTGTGTGCATGTGTGGTGTGTGTGGCAGTCTGCCATGCGATGTGGGGTCAGATGTGAGTCCTGAGGAGGCGCGCCTGCTCGCCTACACACAGGCACAGCAGGGAGTCCCCCTCCCATCCATTGTCAGTCGTGCTCCATATTCTCTACCCTACAATACCATACCGTACTGAACTGTACTGTACCATACTGTACCATACCATACTATACCATACCATACCGTACCATACCATACCATACCATACCATAACATACCATACCATGCCATGCCATACCATACCATGCCATACCATACCATACCATACCGCACCATGCCTGTTATGCAGTTCCGTGTGTCCAATGCCTTCTACCCAACATCTTTCCCCAGTCCCTGTCATGTTCACATGCCATGCTGAGCAACCTTTTTCTGATTGAAGTTTTCCGCCTAGAATCATGTGTGCACCCCTCCCCACCCCCCGTCCAGGTGGCATCAGAGCGCGCCATGCTTGCCAATGCTGATGCCGCCCACGCTGCCTTCCGCTCGCACCGCTACACCGGCCCTGTCAGACAGCCTCCCAGCGCTCCGCCCGCCATGGCCTTCCCCCCGCCACCTTTGCCCCGCCTCCCCCCCTGCGTTCATGGCGCCTCCATCAGCCCCCAGTGCCCCCCTTGGTGCTGGCGGCATGCTGTTCGGGAAAGTCATTTCGCAAGCACGGCCTGCCACTGCCATGGCACCATCGCCCTTCTCCTCCTCACCCATCTCCTCTTTCCCCACGCCCCAACAACCGTCACCCTTCCCCTTTGGCCCCTCTCAAGCCTTAGCATCGCCCTCCCCCGCTGCTTCGCCCTTTACCCCCTTCTCTAGCGCCCCATCTCCCTTCTCACCAGCAACTCCACAGCCCCACCTGCTATTTGGACAACCCACCGCCTCGCCCTTCCATCCCGCCCCTTCATCCTCCCCCTTCGCCACTGTCCCGTCACCTGCCCCCTTCGCCCCACTCGCCGCTGCCAGCCCATCGCCCCTGCCCTCCTTCCCCCAGCCGCTGCCGCCGTGCACGTGCCTGGTAGCAGCGCAGCCAGTGTTGGGGGCGTGGGCGGTGGAGAGGGGTCCGTGTGGAGCAGTGGGCGGTGGAGGCTTGGAGAGGTATGGGCAAGGATTCATAGGCACACCCTCCACCCCGTGCTCTTCTCAATGCCTGCTTCCTTCTATGCACCTGCATTTCCGTTGCTCGTTGTGTATCGCCATGGTGCCCCCTCTCCGCCTTTCCCCCCCTGCTGCCCCTCGCACTGTTCAGATACCGGAAGAGGAGCCGCCTCCGGCTGTCTGCGTGTGAAACGAGCAATTCTAGAGCCACCTACGCCGCAGTGCTCAAAGCTGCCAGCCAGCGGCAATCAGATGGGGTAGTGCAGGCCCTCCGAACCGAATGCTGGCCCTCTATGAAGCACCACTTTGCCAGGAGCAATCAGATGGGTAGTGCATTTGACAGTATTGTATCATGGAATGTTGGGGTTAGCGCATGTTGGGCTGAGAAATGCCCTTAGGATCTTTTCAGAGACTGTCCCAGTTGAAGATTGAGACTTGAGTAGTGCAGCGGAAGTTGAGGCAGTTGAACCCTTGTACTAGTATATGAGAACAAGTGATAATTAAAGAAACAAGCATACAGCAATATATAGAAATAAGAAAGCAGTTGTAGAATACAGTTGCAGGAGCGGTTTATCGAGTCGCACAGCGACTCGATTGCCGCTTCGGTTACCATCCGATGTTGTAACGGTCAGTCGCAACCTCCAGTTGCGACCTTTCGAGTCCTTCGTTCTTTGTCCGCCCCCTCGTGTAACCTCCGTTGACTCGCGTCCCCTGTAATCTTCCTCGAGTGTAGTGTTACACTTCAGAAACGCTTAAGTCCTTTGAGATATTTCCAACACTCCCCTTCGTTTCTGGAGTGCTGTGTTCAGATCCGGTGACGTTTGTTTGCCCGGTCAGGAGCATGCAGTAGTCGAATTTTGCTTCGCCAATTTCTTCGTCAGATAGTCTGCGGCCATTTCTGTCGTCGGGCAGTAACTGAGTTGAAGTCTCCCCTTCGCGATTTCATCCTTGACGAAGAAGTACCGCAGGGCGATGTGCTTGGTTCGGTTGGCGAAGCCGTCCTTGTTCGCGATTTTGATCGCAGATTGGTTGTCGCAGAGGAGTGAGAAGGCGGGCAGGGTCGCAATCTTCGCTTCCTCGAGTAACTCTCGTAGGTAGAGTCCTTCCTTGGTCGCAGTACAAAGGGCGATATACTCTGCTTCAGCCGAGGATAGTGCGATTAACTCCTGCTTGCTCGACTGCCAGGAGATAGTTCCGATAGGTTCTAGTCGGTAGATGTAGCCCGTCCTAGATCGTCGATTTTCCTGTCTCCCGCGTGGTCGGCGTCGACGTATCCGAGTAGTCGTACGGACGGTTGTCTTTACTGTAGGTAAGCCCGATCGTCGGCGTGGAGACGAAGTAGAGTAGTGCCCGATTGAGTTCCTCGAGATCTTCCTGTTCCGGCTGCTTCAGATGCGTCGCCAGTTGGCTCGCGCTATAAGATAGATCGGGTCGGCAGGTTACTGCTGCGAATAGTAGGCAGCCGGTTTCTGCTGATACTCCTGAATTTGCTTCGCGTGGAGTTTTGCGGAGGTGCTGCTGTTGTTCCCGTAGCGGTAGGGAGTCGGGACCGTAGTCGGCCGTTAGACCGAATTTCTTCGCGACAGTGCCTGCGTATTTTCCGGCGTGTAGGTAGAACGCCGAGTTGTCTTCGACGACATTCAGTCCTAGGTACATGGGTCACTGTGTCGGACACCGTGAGTGTCAAGTCTCTTTTCAGCTCCCCTTCGAACCAGGTGGCGATGTCGGCAGTGGAACCGATGTAGAGCAGGTCGTCGACGTAAACGATGAGTAGGATATACTCTCTTCCCTTCTGCAGTCGGTACATCCCTTGGTCATGTGGTAGCTGTAGGAATCCGATTTTTGCGAGGCGACCGTGAAGATGCTGCTGCCAGAGCCGCGGGGCTTGCTTGATCCCGTATAGGGATTTTATCAGTTGGCATACTTTCGTGGGGTTGTCGATGAATCCGTGGGGTTGCCTCGACGAAGATCTCAGCGTCCACAGGTGCGTACAGGAAAGCATTGGCGACGTCGATTTGGCGCAGTGGTAGTTCCTTCGTGGCCGCGACGGCGAGTAGAAATGCGCAGGGAGGTGTGACGGGAGACTGGGGCGAAGGGTTTCTGTGTAGTCGGTTCCGTATCGTTGATCGAAAGCCTCGTATGACCCATCGAGCTTTGAATCGTTCGGTGGAACCGTCCGCATTGGTCTTGATGCGGTACACCATTTTCCCGAGAGGACGTTCTTCCCGTTGATGCTTGTTGCAGGTACCAGCTTTCCATGTATTTCGGTCTTGCAGAGCCTTTAACTCCTTTTCCATCGCCTCCTTCCATTTCGCCTTGTGTTCCCCCCCCAGGGCCTGCGACAGAGTCGATGGCTCGCGCGGAGATGGCGGCGGTGGATGCTGGACGGAGACCCAGAGGCCGAGAATCTGCAGTCCCGTGGGTGTGTGTCGAGGGGAATTTTCATTCCCGGAATAAGCTGCTTCGTCACCGTCTTCTGGGTCAGGTAAGAAGTTTGGGGCCGATGCGTTCTGAAACATTTGTGTCGACTGGGTGGGGTGTAATGTAACCTTGGTCAGCAAAGTGGTAAAAGGTGTCGAGGTTGCTACTATCGAGAGGGTTGTCTTCGTCGAGTGGAACAGGTACGGAACAGAAAGGGAGTGGTCCGGCAGCTTCCGAGGCTTCAGGTACGTCTTCTTCTGCTGCGTCAGCTTCGGCAGCACGGTCGGCGAAGGAACGAAGTCCCGAGAAGCCGTCGGTGGGGTCTTGTGTGTTGGCAATGTTGTCCAGGTAATGCTGCAGCGTCAGTCGGCTCGTAGAAGATAACATCACGTGATGCCACTGTATTTTGTTTTGTATGTCGAGGATTTTCCATGCGTGAAAATGTTTGCGATGCCGAGGTGTACTCCCCATCGAGCTCGTTGAGTGAAGCGTCCTGCTCGGCGGTGTGGGGTCTGTACTGTACCATGCAGCCGAAAACTCGAAGTAATTTTGTGCTGCCCCGTTTTCGTGTCCACATGAGGTGCGGTGATGCGTTGTTGGGAAGTGATGACGAGGACAACAGGTTGTGCAGGTGAACTGCATGGGTCATCGCGTCTGGCCACAGTGTGGTGGGCAGCCTCATCCCCAGGAGCAGCTTTCGCATCGTCGTCTGCAAGGTCCGGTTCATGCGTTCTGCGACCCCCTGCTGTTGGTGAGCGTATGGCAGAGACACCAGGCGTCTGATTCCTCTTTCCGCCAGATAGGTCCTGAAGCGTTGTGACTGGTATTCCAGTGACCGTCTGACTGGAAGCTCTTGAGCTTGGTTCCTGATTCTCGTTCGGCGATGGGGAGCCATGTTGTGAAGGCGTCGAACGCTTGATCGCGCGTCTTGAGGTTGTAGTGCCAGACGTATCGTGTTGCTGCGTCGATGAACGTGATGACATAGTTGAAGTCTGCTTCTGTGTCTTCTCGAGGCATGTTTAAAATATCGCTGTAGACTTTTTCCATCGGTGCGTATGCAGGTGCGCTTGGGTTGTGATGAGATGGAAAGGAGTGGTGGGGAAGATCGGCTTCGGGGCACGTGAAGCACCGTGCGCGTGGTCGTCGAAGTTCTTGGCCGCTTGTTGTTAGGAGGGCGTTGCGTTCTAACACTTCGGCTTGGATGGTTTGTAGTATTGTACTATTTGCAGGGTGCCCGAGGCGTTGGTGCCAGATGTCGTCGGGAGCGCGATGGCCGGGCGAACGGTGGTATATGTCGGCGTTGGAGAAGAACGCGACGACTGTGGCGGGACTTCGACAGACTTCTCGTGTGATGGGCATAAGCTGGTCTGCTTCGGTTGGCGATCCTCGGATCGCTGGTGGTGGTACTCGGCTGGGTCCTGCTGCTGCTACTGCAGGTGATGGTTGGAAGGGACGCTTGCTGGTACTTGTCTTTCTTGTCTGATAACTGCTAATGCTCGTGTTCTTTTTGCTGCGGGTATGGTGTTGGAGTGCCAGAATCCGTCAGGGTCGAAGTCGGGGTCAAGATCCGGCGGGTGTGTCCAGGCGGCGAACGACACGATACCGTCGCTGTCGGCAGTACCGCGGTCGGGGGACGAAGTCCAACACGAAAACGCCGGACTTCAGGAGAGCACGACCGATGAAGAGGCCGCCCTTCCCGTGGTAAAGTCGAAACTCGTTGGAGTAGGAGTCGCACTCCAGGTGAATCCCTTTGGCCATTAGTTGGCTTACGCTTAGTAGGTTGTATCCCAAGTTGTCGACAATGAGGACTTTGTTGAGCTGAAGTATGACGTTTGTCTCCATGGATTGTAACTGAACCACGCCTTGTCTGTTTGTTTTCAGGTTTTCGTTGTTGGCGACGGTGATGATGACGTCGCGGTTGAGGCGTTTCTCTCGTTGCACGAAGCGTCCCGAAGAGCACATGTGTTGACCGCAGCAGCTGTCAGAGAACCAGGTGTTGCGCCCGGTGGGTTCGGCGTTGGCGACCGCAGCATATGTCGGATTGACTTGAAGTCCTTGTGAGCGCGGTGGCGGGAGCTCTTCTTCGTCTGGTGCGTAAGTGGGTGGTGATCCGGGTGTGCAGTTGTCGATGTGTACCATGCAGTTAATAATGTTTGGTGTCTGTTGTGCAGATGTTGAAGAGCGCCTTGGAGGACTTTCTTGAGTGGAAGCGACTTGTGGGTCTACTGGGCGATAAACGCGAGGGCGTGTGCAGTTGACCTTGGAGTGCCCGGAAGTCTGGCAGTTGTGGCAGAACGGTGGTACGAAAGTAAGTCCTCTGTTGTCGCGTTGATCTTGCTTGCCGCGTCGATTGTAGTTGTTGTCGTTCCTTTGTTGAGTGTAGAAGACTAACTGCTGCTGCTTCCTTGGTTGTCTTTCTTCGAACAGGTCCATCTCCTGTTGTTCAGCGTGAAGCTCGGCGCAGAGGTGCATCTCCGAAATCCTTCCGTGGGCGCGAAGAAGCGATCGTGTGGTTCTCCATTCTGGCCCGAGCCCCGCGAGGACAAGCGTCACGAAGCTCTCTTCAGTGATTGTTCCTCCGCACCAAAGCAGGCGGTCGCGGAGGGTCTGGCAGCAACTCATATACAGCATCGCCTTTTCTCCGGTCTTCATCTGTATTGTTGTCAATTGTTGCATGAGTCTGCTTTGTGTCACGCTGTCGTTTGCTTGATAGAGGCACTTGAGGTGATGCCATGCGAGTTCTGCGGAGTTGCCATAGCTCCTGTATGTTCTGATGCTCTGCTGTTCTTGTGGTGACAGATTTCTCAAGAGAACTGTATACGCCAGCAGCGACTGATACGTGAAGATTTCTTGCTCCTTTCCAGTGCCGTTGCTTGGGAATGGCAGGGACCCGTTGAAGTATCCCAGGAGATGCGCAGCCTCCATCAGCAGCTCGAACTCGAAACTCCAGGTAAAGAAATCGTGTCCGTTGAATGGTGAGGATGTCTGCAGTTTAATCACGTGTGAGAACTGCGCCTGGAGGCTTAAAATCTCGTTTGGTGTCTGTTGTGATGCAGCTGCTGTTGGTTGGGCACGGGGCGGCATGAACTCGAACGTCC